TAATTATTTTGAATGGAATTTCTCTATCTCTTACTGCTGGGCTTTCTTGGTAATAGATAGAAATACTAATAATTTATGTGGGTTTATCTTACATCTTGCAACTTTGCTAAAGTTGTTAATTATTTCAAGAAGTTTTTTTAGTTGATTCTCTGGGATTCTCTAAGTATGTCATCATTTCATCTGCAAGTGATAGTTTTGTTTCCTCATTGCTTGTTCTAATTCCTCGCATTTCTTTTTCTTCTCTTATTTCTAAAGCTAGCATTTCTAGTACAATATTTAATATGGTGATAATGGGAATCCTTGCTTCACCAGCAATGTTACGGGAAAAGCTTCTGGTCTATCCTCGTTACAAATAATGCTTGCTGATGGTCTTGGATAGATACTACTTAATCATTTTAAGGAAGGCTTCATTTATTCCTTTGCTCTCTAGTGTTTTAATAAGAATGAGTGCTACATTTTGTCAAAAGTTTTTTCTGTGTTTATTAAGATAATCATATGATTTCTGTAGTTTTTTTTGTTAATATGATCAATTATGCTGATAGTTTTCCAAATATTGAACCAGCCCTATATTCCTGGTATAAATTCCACCTGTTCATAGTGTATTATCCTGAGGATAAATTGCTGTAATCTCCTTGCTAATACTTTACTTAAAATTTTTGCATCAATATTCATTGGGGAAATTTTCTTTCTATGTTTTGGCTCTTCCCAGCACCATATTTTGTAATGAAAGGAATTTAGTAGGACTCCTTCTTCACCTATTTTTCCAAATATTTTACATAGTATTAGAATTCATTGTTCTTTAAATGTTTGGTAGAATTCACTTGTAAATACATCTGACCCTGGAGATTTCTTTTCTTAGATATTTAATTGATGACACATTTAATTTATTTTTTTCTAAAATAAGGTTGTATAAGTATTTTATTTTCTCTTCTGTTAATTTGGGCAGTTTATATTTTTTGTAAATGTTCATCCATTTCAATTAGATTGTCAGATTTATTGGCATTCAGTTGAGCACAATACCTCCTAATTATTGCTTTAATTTCCTCTTCATTGCTGGTGAATTCAACCTTTTCATTTTTGATACTAGTAATTAGGTTTTTCTCTTTCTTTTTTTTTTTAATCAAATTAACCAAAGTTTATCTATTTTGTTGGGTTTTTCATAAAAACTAATAAATAGTTTTATTTATTAGTTCATTAGTTTTCTTACTTTCAATTTTATTAATTTCTCCTTTGATTTTCAGGATTTCTAATTTGATGTTTAATAGGGTATTTTGAATTTGTTCTTTTTCTAACTTTTTGTTGCATGCCCAACCCATTTATCTGCTCTTTCTCTTATCAATGTAAGCGTTTAGAGATACAAAATTTCTTCTAAGTACTGCTTTTGCTGCATCTCATAAATTTTGATATGTTGTTTCATTATCGTCATTGTCTTTGATGAAATTATTGATCATTTCTATGATTTGTTGTTAGATTATTTAATTTCCAATATTTTTAAGCTTTCGATGGCCCTTTATTACATGTAATTTTTATTGCATCATGATTTGAAAAGGATGCATTTAATATTTTTGCCTTTCTGCATTTGCTTGTGAAGTTTTTATGCCTTAATACACGGTAAGCTATTGTGTCGGTGCTATGTGCTTCTGAGAAAAAAGGAATATTCCTTTCTATCCCCATTCAATTTTCTCTGGAGGTCTATCATATCTAACTTTTCTAAAATTCTATTCACCTCCTTAACTTCTTTCTTGTTTATTTTGTGCTTAGATTTTTCTAGTTTTGAGAGGGGGAGGTTGAGGTCCCCCACTAGTAGGGTTTTACTGTCAATTTCCTCCAATAACTTATTTAACTTCTTTAGAAATTTGGATGCTATACCATTTGGTGCATATATTTTTAGTATCAATATTCCTTCATTGTCTGTGGTAACTTTTAGCAAGATGTAGTTTCCTTCCTTGTCTCTTTTAATTAGATCTATTTTTACTTTTGCTTTGTCTGAAATCATGATTGCTACCCCTGTTTGTTTGTTTGTTTGTTTACTTCAGCTGAAGCATAATATATTCTGCTCCAGCCTTTTGTTTTTACTTTGTGTGTGTCTCTTTATTTCAAATGTATTTCTTGTAAACAACATGTTATAAGATTCTGAGTTTTGATCCACTCTGCTGTCTGCTTCCATTTTATGGGACAGTACATCCCATTTACATTCACAGTTATGATTACTAACTATGTATTTCCCTCCATCCTATTTTTCCCCTGTTTATACTTTTTTCTCTCTCTCCTCTCACCCCATCCTTCCTCATCAGTGTTTTGCTTCTGTCCACCACCTCTCTTAAGCTGCCCTACCTTCTATCAGACTTCCCTTTTCTTTCCCCTTTCCCTCCTACTTCTCTATAGGGTAAGATAGATTTCTATACTCAACTGAGTGTGTATATTATTCCCTCTTTGAGCCAAATCTGATTAGAGGAAAGTTCAAACAATGACTCCCTCCCTTCTTTCCCTCTACTAAAATAGGTGTTTTGCATCCTCTTCATGTAATATAATTTTCCCCATTCTGCCTCCCCTTCCCTCTTCTCCCAGTACAATCCTTTTTTAACCCCCTTTTTATATCATCACATCAAATTCAATTTATACTCTTACTATCTATGAATATTCCTTCTAACTGCCCTAATAGTTCTTAAGAGTTAAAGTTCTTAAGAGTTAAAATATCTTCCTATGTAGGGATGTAAACAGGTTAACCTCATTGAATAACATGTTTTTTTTCTTTCCTGTGTACCTTTTGTCCTGTTTACTCTTGAGTACTCTGTATTTGAAGATAAAATTTTCTGTTCAGCTCTGATCTTTTTTTTTTTTAGGCAATTGGGTTAAGTGACTTGCCCAGGGTCACACAGCTAGTAAGTGTCAAGTGTTTGGTCTGAGGCCAGATTTGAACTCAGGTCCTCCTGACTTCAGGGCCGGTGTTCTATCCACTGTGCCACCTAGCTGCCCCCTCAGCTCTGATCTTTTTATCAGGAAAGTTTGCTGGTCCTATATTTCATTGAATGTCCATTTTTTTTCTCCTGAAAGATTATGCTCAATTTTTCTGGGTAGTTGATCCTTGGTTGTGATCCAAGCTCCTTTGTGCTCCAGAATATCATATTCCAAGCCCTTCAATCCTTTAATATATAAACTGCTAAGTCCTGTGTGATCCTGACTGTGGCTCATTGATATGTGAATTGTTTCTTTCTGGCTGCATGCAGTATTTTCTCCTTGACCTGATAATTCTAGAATTTGGCTACAATATTTCTTGGAGTTTTAATTTTGGGATCTCTTTCAGAAGGTGATCAGTGGATTCTTTTAATTACTATCTTACCCTCTGGCTCTAGGATATCAGGGCAGTTTTCCTTGATAATTTCTTGAAAGATGCTGTCCAGGCTCTTTTTTTTATCATAGCTTTCAGGTAGTCCAATAATGCTTAAATTATGTCTCCTGGATCTATTTTCCAGGTCAACTGTTTTTCCAATGAGGTATTTTACATTTTCTATTTTTTCATTCTCGTGATTTAGTTTGACTGACTCTTGATGTCTTGTATAGTCATTAGCTTCCAGTTGTCCAATTCTAATTTTTAAGGAATTATTTTCTTCAGTTAGCTTTTGTATCTCCTTTTCCATTTAGCCAATTCTGCCTTTTAAGGAGTTGTTTTATTCATTTTTTATGCTTCTTTTTCTAAGCTATTGACTCTTTTTCTCATTAGCCTCTTGCATGACTCTCATTTCTTTTCCCAATTTTTCTTCTAGCTCTCTTATTTGGTTTTTGAAATACTTAGAGGACTTTTTGGCCTTGAAACCAATTCACATTCCCCTTTAAAGCTTCACATGTAGGCGCATTGACATTGTTATTTTCTTCTGAGTTTGTATTTTGATTTTCCCCATTGCCATAGTAGCTTTCTATGGTCAGAGTTTTTTTGTTTGATTTTTGCTCATTGTCTAGCCTATTTTGTGACTTTTAAAGTTCAACTCTGCCCCGGGTTACCAGGGCACTGTCCAAAGCTTCTTTTGTTTGGAGTCAGGGGCCTGGCCACTGGTTTTCTGTGCAGGTGCCTCTAGCTCTAGTGACTAGCCCACTATGCCGGGATGCCCAGGCTAGTCACACTTGGTGTGCTAGGGGTTCCAGGGATGACAGTTTGCCTACTGCACTAGGGCTAGAGGTGCCATATCTAGTCTGCTGGACCACTGGCCTGCTAAGTCAGGACTGCAGAGCCTTAGTTGCTAATCTGTGCTGTGGCAAAGAGTCTCCCACTGGCTTGCCCAGATCCTGCCTGCACTACATTGCACTGCCCTTTTATCTAAGTGAGACAGGCCTACCCTACCATTCTTCTAAGTTATCTTGGTTTAGAAAATTGTTTCATCCCATCTTTTTGTGGGTTCTGTCATTCCAGAATTCATTTAGAGGTTTGATTTATCAGTGTTTCTAGGAAAACTGAGGAGAACTTAGGCTTTTCTTGGCCATCTTGGCTCCCCCTCCTAAGATGTTGCCATTGAGCAAACCCTAGTTCCTAAACTATAAGGCCTGAGTTTTTAATCCCCAATTCAACTGTCATACCTGTTGGGATATCTAGAACTGAGTCTACTTGCATCTAGTCCAACCCTATTATGTCCTCATTCTAAGAAACCACAAAATTGCTTTCATGACTAACTTTGAACTTTCAGTCTACTAAACTTACTTATTGATGTGACATTAAAAGAATATTCAGAAATAGGTCATTTCACTTAGTAATTTCCACTTCACCTGTCCATGATAATAGGTAAATAACAATTTAATGAAAAGGTAAAGGAAAGGAAGAAATTAAGAATAGATAATCCTTAAACTGAATAATTGTTTAGTAAATAATAGAGTATTGGCTACTGACCTCAAAGGTCCCTATCATGTCTAAATCAATATTGTTATATTATAAGAAACATCCCATTGTCTTTTATCCTGAAAATTTAGATTTTTATAATGTTATAAACTTTTTTTGTTCTTTCTCTTTCTAGAAGTTGATGGCGTTCCAGTATCTGCGATTTCAGGACCTTTCTCAACAGATGACATAGCAAGCAGCTGTATCCCTGGTTCACCTTCGAAAGAACCCATTTTGTGGATTGTCTCATATGCTCTTATGAGTTTGTGTGGAATTGTCTTCCTCATATTAATCTCACTGATGTTTCCATTCTGTTGTGTGCATTGCTCTCATGATCCTAATTTAGTCAATGATGAATCATGTCTAGTACAGCATCACTGGAAATAACCTTCTTGATCCAGACCCAAGGAATTTAGGAGTCTACTATTAACAGTTTAAGTTAAAAATACAACAACAAGGACGACAAGCCAAGGATTTCTCCTATATACATTCTAGAGTCAAATCATTGTTTTTTTGTTGTATGCCATCCAGATTCCTATGTCTTGAGCCTTCATTTTAAAGTTTCCAATCCTCAAGGGGAGAAAAGTTATCCTAAACCAAAATATTGTAATTGTAATTGTATATGACTGATTATGCAGTACAATATTGGATGCCAGAACCTAATGACATGCTTGAAAATGAAAAATAATAAGTTCTCTTATACCTCAAAATCTCTTCCAAAATAGAGAATATAACTTCAGATTTCATCATTATGAAAGTAAAATAAGAATTTTTTCTCTACTTAAATTTATTAGTGATTTTCTTCAATTTTAACATATCTTAGTACAATGTAAAGATTCATCTTATGATGGCAAGAGAAACTTTATGAGTTTACTGAATCGGCTATTCTCTCCATAGTTATAAGCTCACAATGGGCATTTTTATGGCCCTTCTGTGTGCCTTGGATGAGAATTCTAAAATACTTAATAACAGGGTCACCATCATTTGACAACCTTTACTTGTCTCTGGTTTTTAGGATGGTGAGGGACCCTCTTGTCAGTTTCACAGATTCCACACAAATAGAGGTTCTAAACTCTGAATTGTGCCTGCTAGAATAATTCTAAACCAGTCATCATTAAAGACATTTATATCCACTCACATAAAAATATAAAAGGCCCTCTTTGTTTCATCTGCTTTTGTTGAGGTATTTCCCTTTTCACAAGCCATCAGAACTGCAGTAACTAAAAAGTAAGTTTTCCTATTTAGATTTGACTTTCATGGGTAAATTAAATTTCACCTTTTGCATGGATAGCAGATATTTATGACTAGATTTCAGTGGACTTAGAAAAGAAAGGTGAAAATGAATCAAAGGACAACTTTATCCAGTTTTTAAAACTGTGGAAGTAATACTTCCTGTGCTCAGATACTTCTACACCTGTACCTGAGACTTATGCCTTATTATATCTGAGGTATAATGATTCTAGCTTAGCTTGAAATACAAAATTCTCTCTCTTTGTGGATATTCAAATTTTAAGCAATAAGAAATGGATAGAACTGACCTTTTATATGTAACAGCTCTCTTCTTTAAATAGGTAGAAATTGAGGAAATTCTCAATTGCTATTTATTCAATCCTTAAATATGGAGCTGATGGAATTATAAAATATTATGTAATTAGGATTTTGAGTGTTTGAAATCATTGATTTTCGATATTTCCCCTTGCCCCCTTCTCTTCATGTTATGTTATGTCCAGTTATCATCGTCAGCCAAGTGGATATTCTCTGTAATCACTCTGATCCCATGTAAAGTTCCATGTAAATATTGATTTCCTCTGTCCAGAATTTCTTTTGCAGTTACAATAATTCTTATCAACAATCCATACCCTCAACATACCAAGCAATTTCTCACTGACCAGAATGTTATTTCTAAATTTTATTTTTTTTGTTTGTTTGGTGAGGCAATTGGGGTTAAGTGTTTTGCCCAGAGTCACAAGCTAGTGAGTGTTACGTGTCTGAAGTCGGATTTGAACTCAGGTCCTCCTGACTCTAGGGCTGGTGCTCTATCCACTGTGCCACTTAACTGCCCCTATTTCTACATTTTATGTGTGTCTTCACTGATGAAGATCATTCCTGGTGAGGAAACTCCCCACATCAATGCAGATCAGCAATTGTTCTGCAACTTTTAGCTACTTACCTGGGTTGCTAAAAGGCTTACCTGACTAACCCAGGGTCTCATTCAGTCATTACAGATCAGAGGCAGGACTTGAACTTTCAGACTGAGGCAAGTTTTCTGTCTTCTAGATGACCCTGAATGCTCCACTTCTACATGATGCTATATGTGACCACACAGAATAGCTATATTAACCCAGAAGCCTTATTGATATACTGAAGATAGCTCTGTTAGATATGTGTGTATGCGTGTGTATACAGAGAGACACAGAGAGAGAGAGAGTGCTCCATTACCTCTAATTTCTATAAGCAATCAATCAACAACTATTTTTAAAGCACCTAACATGTGCTAGGCATTTCCCTAGACAACTAAGACTTCAAGTACAAAAATGAAACAATCCTTGCTCACAAATAGTTCAGTGAACTCTGTGTTTGGAAAGAATAAATTTATATTAATTTTAATATAGGCTGACTACCCAATCCATAAGCTACCTTTTTATTCCCCTCCCCCAATGTAATATTTTCCTTTTTCTTTTTGAAAAGACTGTGTTATGTAGTAAATATCTGGCTTTGAAGTCAGAAAAACAAGTGTTCAAGTATGTGACACATACTAACTCTGAGACCCTAGGCAAATCATATAAAACTCTTACTGCACCAGTCAATTTTCTAAGACTATATATATTGCAGGATAGTTGCCAGTCCCCATGGGTAAAGGGAGTTTCCTCACCAAACTGTCCCCAATTAATTAAATACTAGGTCTGGACCAAAAAAAAGCAAAGAGTTTTGATTATTTAGACGTGAGATTGGGAGTATGGTGACTTAGAACGCTTTTGGGGGAGCCTGTGAAATAGGAATTCTAATAATTCTAAAAATGACCCATCATTTTAGTCATAATCCATGGCCAGAAATAATACTTGAGGAAGCCAGTGCCTTTTTTGTAGGTGATATTTCTTGCCACATTTAGCTTTTATTACTCAATTTTTTAGAGCTCTTTGAATAGGGTATTAGACCCAAAATCTATAGGAAGTGTCCTTTCTTCTTTGCTATTGAAACATAAATGCCTTTAAAATAATAATAAAAAAGCCATGACCTGATTAGTTTTACTGAATATTTCTTTATCAAGACTTATTTTATTTTGTTGTTGCTTAATGCTATTAAAGTAAAATAACTTCTTACTATCTTAATATGCACTACACACTATTTCAATGAAATTGCATTAGTATTCTGTATTCCACAGTAAATTCCTCTTGTTTACCTTTCATTTTAGAATGTCATCATATTTTCATAGAAATATATGAATTATATAGTTGTAATGAGGACTTGGGATCATACTCAGATCACCTACTGTGGAAGTACCTTGCTTTTGGGAGAAGACATCGTATGTTCCCCTACTACAGAGGAAGCAACAGCCTCTTTCTATTGGCTGCTTAGCCAGAACAGATTTCATTTTTAAAAAGCACTAGACTGGGACACTCACTGTCTTTCCAATATACTCTTTGGAAGATTCTAGTGAGGGCTAGGAAAAGTGGAAGTCATCCATGGCATAGGTGCCATAAACCTGGTGGGAGTTGGGGAAGGGGAAAGGACTTCCTTCCCCTGCCCTTACTTTTGGCCCCATGGCTCTGAGAAACAAACTCAATTTGTTTATCCTCAGTTTTTAGGTACAGAAAAATCTCCAGGAACCTGGGAGCGCAAACTATGGTGGCCTTGGATTCAGGATTGCAGGTGGGACATTAACAGCAGCCAGTCCACCAAAAATGCGATGACAAATTACACACGGCAAAATTTCCTTTATACACCTTATAAATGGAACACACACACACACCCACACCCACACACACACACACACACACACACACACACACACACACCCCTTACAAATGGAATCCAGACTTTGAGGAAAAATGCTTTCTGCAAAAAGAAAGCAAAACAAAGCAAAAACCTACTGGCAATGCCAACTTCATTAGGGCTAACAAATTTATACTTTAGAATGGCAAAAATCAAATAAGGTTGCTTTGGCAACAACAAAAAAGAAGGCTTCAAAGTGTTGTAAAGTTTCATTGACCTGATTTATATTTAAATTACAAACATATTTTGATCACCCCCATTCTGTGAGAATTCTCTTTTAACAAAGTAAAATAATTAAGCAAAACTTCATTTCATCAGAAAGTGCATGGAACGTCCCACATTTATGGCACCCTGCTCTTCCATCTCTCTATTTTTGAAGTGTTTTTGTTTTAATTAGTAGAAACCTATTTTCTCTCCCTCTTACCACATATTTCATTGGGAAAAAAAGAGAAAAGAAAATCCAATTCCCTGCAACAAATATATATAGTCAAGCAAAACAAATCCCCTCATTGGTTACATACAAATATATATGTATATATGTGTGTATACATACATGTCTGTGTGTGTATATATGTACATACATTTTTAGAGAGGGCCACATAATAACTATCCTATAATTTATATATAATTGTTATGGTTGAAAATTAAGGTAAACTGAGAAATAATGGTCTGATCATGATCAACTTCTTGGTTAGGCTAGCAATAACCAAGAACTTGGACATATGGCCTCTCAATAACCAAAGACCTCAAAGAAGGGTTCACTAGCCTTCATAAAGTTTTAGGAAGTACAGAGTTGGGTAGGTGGAGAAGATAATGCAGTTGGTTATATGGTAGACAGCAACGTGATTGGTTACATAAAGAAAACCAGATTAGCACCTATGTGGGGTTAGTAACCACCCCTCTCCATCAATTAAGAAATGTTTGTTGTTTTGTGGGACCCATCCACATCCAATCTTTACTAGAAGATGAAAACTACCAGACCTGTCTCCTTAGAAAAGATTTAAAACTCCACTAATTGCCAAGGACAGGCAAGGACAAATGACATCTTTTGGGGACTGTACCAAGTTAATTTGTAACTTTAAACCAACTCAGAACTAAATTTCTGAGCTTAACTTAAGGACATAAAAGTGGCTTTAGGTAGATGCAGATTCAATTATACAATTAATGGAGCATAAAATCAAATATATTGTAGAATCAATAAAGTAGAAATCAATGTAGTAGAAACTCAAGGTAATATTAATTTCATCTTTTCATAACTATTCTATAATTTACATATAATAGCTATTCTATAATATATATGCATATATATTCTTGAAATCTACTACTTCTCTGTCAAGAAGTTAATAGTATGTTTCATCATGGTGACTGTATTGAGCATATAGTGCTTACAGATTTAAAAAATGTTTTTTTACAATGTTTTTACATAAATTAATCTCCTAGTTCTGCCTTTTTAATTCATCATTTTATATAAAGTCTCCAATTTATTCATGTTCACAATTTATGTAGCATAAATTGTTCTGTTTTTGCTTATTTCTTTCTGTATCAATTCATATGTTTCAGTTCTCTTTGAAATCATCTATTTCCCCATTTCTTACAGCACAATAGATTGTTGTTCATATAGTACTATTTATTTAACCTTTCCTCAATTGATGATCATCTCTAGTTTCCAGTCTTTTGCCACCACAAAAATAGCTCCTATATATATTT